AATTTCTATTAATTGTTTAAATGCTAAAAGGTAGCATTACATTTAATTTAATAGAAATTAAAACAGTTTAATTTCTATTAATTGTTTAAATGCTAAAAGGTAGCATACCTACTAATCGTTGTAAACTGAATACCGTGGTTTTATAGTTTTCTCCCTCTTAAGCATGCTAGACTTCAGCTTTGAGTCAGATACTTCGGCTTTTACTTTTTTGATTCCTCCTTTTTTTTTTTCCTGACCATTTAAGGAAACTCCTTGTAGAAACTCCCCATCCTCTAACAAATGAGTCACCAATCTTTATAGTAAAGGAGAAATGGGACATTTTGCTTCATGTATGAAAAGAAAATGCAAATGGCTTTGTGGTGATGGGAGGGGGGGCAGTTCAGGAACAGGGAAGTGTGGTAGCAACCAAAAGAAAACGGACTTCAAGTAGGAATTCAAGATGTTCTTTTTTCTTCTTGAGTGTTTATCTTGAAGCTTAGAATAAAGCTGGTACTTAGAAATATATTCCTAGTAGTTGTGAAAGCAGTTCTATGGTGGTGGGTCTCCCTTCACCTCTACATCCCCCGACTTATTGTGGCTTTCTGAAAGCAAAGGCATGCGACTTTTCTCATCCTAAACATTTGGCATTAACAGAGAAAAAGAGGCAAGTTTCTTTTGAATAATCTCAAAAGTTCAACAAAAATTATTGACTTTTTTCATTATTATTTATGCTTAGAATTTTTCTGTGAATATTTTGACATAATTTTTAAAAATAAATTATACAATAAAATATTTAATAGAAATAAAGACAACATCAAGATCAAGGGGATTTTGACTCAATTGGGAAGTCAAGGCAGATCATGAGTCTCAACCTGTAAAGGAAAAAGTGGAATTTCAGTTTTGGCTCTGAGCTCTCTGGAAGCCAGTCCACAAAGGGGACAAAGTCTGATCCTGATTTTCATTATTCACTGTAAGATTGAAGATTTAAATACAACTAGCATATCTGTTCCAGGCACTGGTAAACAAGCAGGAAAGATTTATTACCATTATTGAGCTATCTCTCAAAATAGTATTCCAGTCTGAGCCACTTTTGTAAGAGTATTTTATTGTTAGCATTTATATGAATAGGGAAGTAGAAGCAAAAACTAGATTATTCTCCTGAGATGTACTAAATAAAATTGCCATTTAAGAACTTTATTTTATATAAGTTCTTCTCAAAAAATGTACATGGGAGTTTGTTGTTTGTTTTTTTTTTTAATGCAAATTTATTCCATAGGTCTAAGAGGGACCTAAGATTTCTAACCCACACTCAGGTGACACAGATACTGCTGCTACTCATGCTTCTTCTTCTTCTTCTTTTTTAATTGAAGTATAGTTGACTTAAGAATAACAAATGTGATATATTGTTATACAAACAAAATTAGCATATAGTAAACAATGCTAACTGGAAACTAACCTCTGAAGTAATATTTTCTATTGATAATAGGGAGGGAAAGAAACCTTTCATATGTGTTCTAGAAGTAAGATTACTTTTTGGATTATGATCTTTAATAGACAGTTAAAGATATTGTGCACTGACTTGTATCTAGTAGTGTCCAGCTTCAATTTTTAAGTTGAATGACATAAATCTTTGGCTACTTTATGATTCTTCCACAAAGAGAAATACTTTAAATTGGGTTCGCAAGTAATTTCCATCCTTTTAAACTAGACTGGACTTCTGCATTAGATGCTAAAATGATTTAAAGCGGGTTATTATTCTTGTCACATTAGTTCATTAACAATGTAATATGCATCATAGTATTCGTACACATTTTAACAGTGCTCACCATGGGATAGATAATAGGCCCGCTGTTGATTGTCTTCAGCCAGATGTACTGTCATCTCCAAATAAACAAACTGTTAACAAAATGAGACTTTCTCTTACCCTTACAAATGCCTAAGAATAGAGAGCTGTCTCTACATCCCAGATTTATGCAGTGGAGGCCAGGTTGTTATCAAAAGTTTTCTTTATCTCTGGTCATTTTCAATAAAATTTATAATGCCTAAGCATTAGTAATGAGAAATTTATTTTTTAAACTTATTTTAATAACAAATAAAACTGTGCAATTCACTCTGGAGTCTAAGCTCAGATCCTTCTTAATCCTAATTTAAAGCTCTATGTTGATGGTAAATCTTTCCATTTCTTACTTAAATTTTACTTAATAGGAGAGAAAAAAAGAGCACACGTTTTCCATTACTAAATCTACTTTGTTAGTAAGATACTTAAGTACTGCTTGAAAGCACTTCCTCAAACACTAATCTGTATGAAGTTATAAGTGAAAAGGCATAAGAAAAGCCATATATATGACCTACCTTACAAAATGCTTGGTCAAAATCTTATTATAACCTGATTTTAATAAGCCACTTCTTTTCTTGTCTTGAAGCACAGCTTCCAAGTAATTTAAGGCAGAATAGACTTGAAGAATCTGAGCCTAAAAGTAAATCTGCAGTTAAAAAGGATATGTACAGCTAGCTTTCCACTAACCACAGATGACACATTTCCTTTCCACTGCAACTAAAGCACATGTCACAGGGGAAAAAAAGAAAAAAACTCCAACTTGTCTAGTTGGCCACTGGCATAACAGGAGCCTTTGTAGAACAAGTCCCCGCCTCCAGGGCAGGGAGGGTTTTCTGCTTAATGCCTTTTGACCTTACATTTATTATGTATGCCTGCTGTATGCTCTTGAATGATACGTTAGTATCATTAAAATGAAGAGAGAATAGCATTTTCCCTGAGATTGAGCATTAAAATCATCTCTAAAAATTGTATTTGTATACCACAGACTGATTTGATAACATGAGTTTGGAGACCCGGGGTATTGGTCAGATAATAGAAACAGTAATGTATATAACCAACATCTCAAAGTGTGGAACTGCAACAATAATTTGGAGAGAATATCTGATCACTTAGATTATAAGGGACAGAAGATGCTTTTGTGTGGTTTAGTGTACACACACACACACACACACACACACACTCCCCTAGAACGTCCTGTCATCACTTCATATTCAGTCTAAAATGGACTTCATTTTTCCCCCAAGTGGCTGCCCCTCATGATCTCTGTTTTTGTTCATGGTAGCAACATTCTTTGTAATGACAGAGCCTTGGTATACAGCAAGTCCTTTTAATTCAAGTCCTTTCTTTCAGCGCTGATCAGACCTTGGATCATGTCGGTCCTTTCTTCATATTTCTGAGTCAGTTTCTTCTTTCACTGTCACTTATTTTCACCGTAACCCTAGTATTTTAGATGCTTATTAAACCATACCTAGACTACTACAACATCTTTTTTTACTAGCCCCGACTCCTTCATATATGTTGTATATATCACTTCCTGTGATCATAACACCCCTTTCTTTTAAAAAATGTGGTTGAATAACTCCCTAACACCTACAGCAGCAATTCAGAAATGTTTATGCACATAAATATCAGATGAGAAGGTTGTTTCAAAACAATGAAAATTCCCAGGCTTCACTGCATAAATTCGTATATAGTAGGTCTGGGCTGGGACAGGAAACTGCATTTTTATCAAGCACCACAGTTGATTCTGATGCTGGTGCTTCACAGAACATCCTCTGAGAAATGCCAGGCTTCTAGGAGAAAACCTGAGCCCCTTAGTTGAACAGTTCTGGTCCATTCACAATTTAGCTATTCTGTATTTTTCCATCTTTATCTCTTAAAACTTCTCTACGTGAATCTCCCATTCTAGCTAAACTAGCTGATTCTTAGCTCAACACATCTGGTTACCTATTTTTCTCCTTTCCCTCTCTCCATGAGGCCTGCCCATCCCCCTTCTTGTTGAGTTTGAAATTCCTCCTGCCGCTTCAGCATCTTTTATGTAGTTTTCACTGGTTACCCAGTTTGTGTTGATTTCTCCACTCCTTTGAACTTAACAAAAGTATTTTTCTCTGCAATTTCTTTGACAAGTGATTCCATACTACCTCACATCTTTCCTTTGTTCTTGAAATATTTTTCTTTTATTTTGAAATCATTTGACTTGTCATAGTTTTGTCTTATTTTCTCCCAGTAAGATTTAAAACTCTTAGGAAAGGATGTTTATCTTAGCCTACTTCGTAGTACCACCTGAGTCATCAAGTATAGAACACTGGTGGTTTTGATTTGAAATTCCCGTACTATAATTTGTGGGCTTTCTGATGGTCCTTATTTTGACTCCTCACGTTGATTCGCATTCTTTTGAGTGTAAGCAACATATGACCTAATACAGCTTAATCAAAAAGTGGAATTTATTGGCTCACACAACTGAGTCGTACAGGGATAAATGTGATCCCAGGAGAGGGGCTTTATCTAGGACTCAGATGAAATGGCCAGGGCCCCAGTTTCGCTCTTCATTTCTCTGCTCCATTTCTTCAGTTTTTAGACAGGCTCTTCCTTCATATCTCAAGATATAAGCTAACAGCTGCCAGAGATATATGGTCCCTCATTTATAAACATCAGGAAAGAAAAAGGTCTCGATTCCCAACGGTTTAAGCTGAAGTCTTTGAATTGGGCCTCTTTGGCCCTGGTTGTTCTGCTTTGAGTCATGTGATCGTTGTTGAACCATTCTCTCTGGTCACGATGGGATAAAGGAATTGATTATAAGTCATTCAGTTTACTCCAGGACTCCAAGTAGGTCATTCCCACCCAGACTGTTCACCTGGGAACTTGGATGGGCCTAGAAGCAACCAACCAAGGTCCATTGACTTCCTCCTTGCTTGACTGGTGGGCAGGTTTGTTGTTGTTATTGTTGCTCAAAGTTATTGATCTGGGGATTTGTCTCTTCCATTTTACTTCGGCCTTACTTCTCAGTGTCTTAAGAACAAGTGATTTAAAAAATGGATTCAGACTTTGTGCAATTGTTTAATATTATAGTTAGTTTTCTCTAGAAGACTAGTCAGAATATAAGGGAATAAAATAGATTAGTAGCATCTGTATATCCATTCAGAACTTTGTTAATGATCTGTGTACTTTTTTTCATCTTCCTTAGGTTCAAAACTGGTCAAATCAATGGCGATTTGCTGATATACCACGTCTTACTTACTTTAAAGCCATATTATGCAAAGCCATATGAAATTGTCGTGGACCTTACCCATACTGGGCCTAGCAATCGCTTTAAAACAGACTTTCTCTCCAAGTGGTTTGTTGTTTTTCCTGGCTTTGCTTATGATAATGTCTCTGCAGTCTATATCTATAACTGTAACTCCTGGGTCAGGGAATACACCAAGTATCACGAGCGGCTGCTGACTGGCCTCAAAGGCAGCAAAAGACTCGTTTTCATAGACTGTCCTGGGAAACTGGCCGAGCACATTGAGCATGAACAACAGAAACTACCCGCTGCCACCTTGGCTTTAGAAGAGGACCTGAAGGTATTCCACAATGCTCTCAAGCTAGCTCACAAAGACACCAAGGTTTCTATTAAAGTAAGTTTCACTCCCTGTTAGGTAAGTGATTCATTGCCTTTCTTGACTAACCTGACTATATACTGGACTCCCCAGGGTCCCGGTAGTAATGTGTCAAACGTAAAGTCCAGATGGAGGAAAACCAAGCTTTCTGTATCTTCATGGAGGTCCTGCAGAAAACTGGAGAGGTGTACCCTTAATAATATTCCAGGTTGGATTGGAGGCAGGAGAGTGTTGTAGAATGGGCAGTTTGCTGTGTATCCGTCTTACAGTAGGAATATGTGAACAGTGGAAAATTACCTATTGAGAGTTCTTCTGATTATTACATGCTTTTTGCAGAGTAAGGAAGGTGAACCTTCAAGATAAAACCTGTAATTATCCATAGGATTCTTGACCTTTTAAAAAATAACTTTTTTCTGCTGTTTTCAGTCACTTTTGACAGCATTTATGACAATAATTATTGAACCTATTTGAATACATAATGGTGGTAACTCTTCTTTAAATGGTTAACATGGTATTTTGTTTGGTTGATTTTCGAAACCTCTCAGAATTCTACGTAATGAAATTTAATTCTTTTCCGCTCTACCCTCTTGCTACCATTTTTCAGGTTGGTTCTACTGCTGTTCAAGTAACCTCAGCAGAGCGAACAAAAGTCCTGGGGCAGTCAGTCTTTCTAAATGATATCTATTATGCTTCGGAAATTGAAGAGATCTGCCTAGTGGATGAGAACCAGTTCACCTTAACTATTGCAAACCAGGGCACACCACTGACCTTCATGCACCAAGAGTGTGAAGCCATTGTTCAGTCTATCATTCACATCCGGACACGTTGGGAGCTGTCGCAGCCTGACTCCATCCCCCAGCACACCAAGATTCGCCCAAAAGATGTCCCTGGGACACTGCTCAATATCGCATTACTTAATTTAGGCAGTTCAGACCCTAGTTTACGGTAGGTTTGTAAAAAACTCATTTCAATCTTATTCAAGGTTTGTTGGTTTTAAAATGAGACCAACTAATAAACTTTTAAAGCAGCTTCTACCTTAATACTGTAAATTGGCTGGTATTCTATATTAGTTAACCAGTATGACCTCATCCAGTTCGCATGAACTGTGGAATTGTGAATAGGGCGATTCACACTAAACCAATGTATGTTCTTTCAACTTGCAGCTGAAACATACAGCATAGCAGTGTTGGTGGGGTTTTTTGTTCGTTTGGTTTTTTTAAAAAAAAAGTCTTTTTTTTTCCCTAAAAGTCTATTTCTAAATTAAGTTTCTCCTTTCCTAAGTTCTCTAAATTTTTCCCATGTTCAAAAGTACATCACTATTAAGTTTCCTCGCGGTCAAATTAGATTATCATTGTTTGAAAAGGAGGGCTTATAACTTTAGCATTTTAACTGAAAAAAGAAAGAAAGAAAAGAAAAGGAGGGCTTAATGTTCAGTAACTCAGTAACATAGCATAGTTTCCACCTGTGTAACTTTAACAAAATTCTTGAAAGAAAGCTTAAGACAAATACAGATGTCAGATGAGCAGAGTATAATTGGTTCTGGTTAGGCTTAGTAATCAAAACATGAATGAGGAAAGGGCAGGGTCTGTAGAGTCAGTAGATTAGGTTTAAATCTCGATCTGCTTCTCTGTATGACTTTGGGCAAGGTACTGAAGTTCTCTGAGCTCTAGTTGCCTCATTTTTAAAATAAAGGTAACGTTGCCTTCCTCATAAACCTACAAAAGTTTAATAAATGTGTGGTAGTATAGTATAGCATCTAGCAAATAGTTCGTGCTTAGCAAATACTATTTCCTCCCAACTTGCACCCACCCTTTCTTCTCTCTGCCATCGTCTCTTTGCACCACTTCCCTCTTCTGTCCCTCTCTTTTTCATGTTAAGATAATTTTTTGTTCCAGGTACCTTGGGACTGTCAAATTTTTACAGATATAAATTCTTAGCTTCAGAAAATCTTCCCTTGGGTATAATATAACCCAGGTTTATAAATGGGCTTTTTAGAATTCCAAATTTTCCCTTATTTGAGAGGAAAAAAAATCAGCAAGATTTCTTTACCTGGATGGGCCTCATGGGGTTCATGAACTCCCACAAAGTATACACAAAACTTCATGTATGCTTAGCTTTCATTATCTCAGAGGAGCCTGTGACACCTACTACCAGTTTGAGGAATCCCAGTTCTTTGTAGCTGTTGAAATATACAGAGTGAAAGTCACTGTCAAAATAGTATCACTCAGAATTACTAGGAGTTTGCAAAAGATAAACTTAGAAACAATAATATTAATATTTCCATTTTAGGAAAATGGAACTATAAGTCTGTCTTGAATTTCTAATTCAAAATTCCTTATAGAAGAATGCTAGCAAACTTCCAACAATTATTAGCTTGAATGAGCCTCTATTCTCTTGTGAAATAAAGCGAGCTGACAGCTTCTGCTTTTTGCTGAAGCATGTTGTCGCAGAGAAAAAGCCTTGAGGCAAACTTATAATTTCAGTGGCTTTTTCCCCCCATATAGTTGTTGCATAAATATATTAGCATGATGAAAGTTCAGAGGTAAGGAAAACCTGAAATTTACTTAGCAAACCATTTCTTTTGTGGATAGGGGAGAAAAATCAATCTAAACATTGAGTTTTTTGAGCTGTTTCCTAAGTTGTTTAAGTGTATTTTTAGACATTTATAAGGGAGCTTTTAGTTCTCATGGAACCTGGATATATATTATGGTTTGGGTTTTGTTTTTTTTTTTAATTTAGTGCTTATGTATAATAGTAGGAATTCATAAAAGAAAAAAATGGCAGGGGGGACTTAATTATATTTAAAAAATGTTTAACCTCTAGTTTGTATTATAACTTGTAGTACGCCTAGAAAGAAATTCAGTAGATGCTGATGAAAGATTTTAACAATCTAATTTGATGAGGGCCATCTTATTTCTCATTATCCCAGTTTTAACTGGATCTAGTGGGAGCGGGAGCCACAATTTGAGTTTTGGCCTCACTGAAAATATGATATGCCTTATTCTGACTTTCTTTATATTGATCCATCTTAAGACCATAAAATTCTCATATTTTATATCCCAATGAAATGTCTTTTAGAAAGGCCTTATATTCGCTGTCTCGGGAGCCTCACAGTTCTCTTCTGGTTATGTGAAGATTTCCCTTTTAAAAAAAATCCCTAAATGATAAAGGGGTATTTTGGGTTTACCATAGAATCACAAAATCTTATCTCTAATTGATCATAAAATTTAAAAATAGTTGATCTATGCTTGGTAATAGAATCGTAAGTTGTATGTTATGAAAAAATTTTGGAATTATAAGAATAGGTTTTAAAACAACTTAATTTGTGTTTTCTCCTAGGTCAGCTGCCTATAATCTTCTGTGTGCCTTAACTTGTACCTTTAATTTAAAAATCGAGGGCCAGTTACTAGAGACATCAGGTTTATGTATCCCAGCCAACAACACCCTATTTATTGTCTCTATTAGCAAGACACTGGCAGCCAATGAGCCACACCTCACCTTAGAATTTTTGGAAGAGTGTATTTCTGGATTTAGCAAATCTAGTAAGTAATGATAATTTTCTTTGATACTAACAATGATTCTAAGAAGATTCAGAGACAACCGTTTCATTTCAGAATTTGCCAGTGAAATCTTTAGTATAGTTCCACTTCTTTACTTCTGTTTTTTCGTCTGACTGAAGAAACTTCATGGTAGACCACATTGAGAAATCCACCAAAATTCTGGCAATACAAGCAAGGTGGCAAGATTTTGATACCATCTATGTCTCTGGGCAACTTACAAAGCATTTTTCGTACTATTTCAGTTTAATTAGCTTTAGTATTTCTCTTCTTAGCAGGTTATTCCCAATGAGTAAAGTATCCACTTCCTTGATTTTAGGGAAGTAGCCATTTCCTCTTTTCTTCAGGTTGACTTTGAACTGTGATTTTATTGTTCATGTACACTTCATGGAGAATGCAATGGCACAAAATACAGGGTCCAGAGTCAACTCCTGACTTGGCTTTGATAAGTGTCATAAATTTAACATCTACTCTTTATGTCTGTCTGTCTTCAGATCCTATAGTAGTATAAATGTTATTCTTCTCCCAGCTTATTTCCTGACATTTTCTTTTTTTTAATTTATCAATGTCATGAATAATATCTTATAGTTTTTTTAAAATTATTTATTTATTTATTTATGGCTACGTTGGGTCTTCGTTGCTGCACGCGGGCTTTCTCTAGTTGCAGCGAGCAGGGACTACTCTTCGTTGCAGTCCATGGGCTTCTCACTGTGGTGGCTTGCCTTGTTACAGAGCACAGGCTCTAGGCACGTGGGCTTCAGTAGTTGTGGCACGCGAGCTAGGTAGTCGTGGCCCACAGGCTCTAGAGTGCAGGCTCAGTAGTTGCACAAGGGCTTAGTTGCTCCGCAGCATGTGGGATCTTCCCAGACCAGGGCTCGAACACGTGTCTCCTGCATTCAGGCGGATTCTTAACCACTGTGCTACCAGGGAAGTCCCTCCTGACGTTTTCTTCCCTTCCCTTTCTCTCTCCATAATACATAAAACTTTTTTTTATGCATTCAAACACATTTCTTGATTTTTCTGTATTAAGTAATTGAAAGCTTTGAAAATTCCGTGAGACCAGATCACTATATATTTTTACAGTTAAGAAATGTAAGAATATAACCCTAAAAAGAAAATGTGTAAGACTGACAAAACAAGAAAAGTATAAAGCTTTATTGAAACATATTAATATGAAAAAAAAGATTTGAGTGAATGGACACAGGTATTGTGTTCCTGGATGAACAGTTCTTCCCAGATTATTACAATATCAATGTAATTCCTTTAAAATATCTGTGAGATTTGAGGATTAAGAATGAGGTAGAGGGCTTCCTTGGTGGCGCAGTGGTTGAGAGTCCACCTGCCAATGCAGGGGAAACAGGTTCGTGCCCCAGTCTGGGAAGATCCCACATGCCGCGGAGCGGCTGGGCCAGTGAGCCATGGCCACTGAGGCTGCACGTCCGGAGCCTGTGCTCCGCAACGGGAGAGGCCACAACACTGAGAGGCCTGCATATCGCAAAAAAAAAAAAAGAATGAGGTAGAACTTTAAATGATTGTACATTTCACTAGAAAGTACAATAGCTAAGAAAATATTATAAGGAAAGAAAACTGAGAGGGGCTTGAATTAACAGATATGTTAACACATAACAACAGTGCAGTAATTTAAACGGGTGTTCAAAAATCAGCAGTCACATCACTTTAAGAGAAACAGATTGATAAAGAAGTATCACAGACTAATAGAAGAATGAGTAAATCATTTAAGAAATGAGGCTGGGAAATGAATTAAGTTGGGTCTTCATCTTAATGCCAAACCACAAGATGCCAAAATAAGTTCTAACTATCAACATATTTAAGAGTTGAGAGGAAACTTGCACAAGCCTCTTAGATAGCCTCATCCACCAGAGGGCAGACAGCAGAAGCAAGAAGAACTACAGTCCTGCAGCCTGTAGAACAAAAACCACATTCACAGAAAGATAGACAAGATGAAAAGGCAGAGGGCTATGTACCAGATGAAGGAACAAAATAAAACCCCAGAGAAACAACTAAATGAAGTGGAGATAGGCAACCTTCCAGAAAAAGAATTCAGAATAATGATAGTGAAGATGATCCAGGACCTCGGAAAAAGAATGGAGGCAAAGATTGAGCAGATGCAAGAAATGTTTAACAAAGACCTAGAAGAATTAAAGAACAAACAAACAGAGATGAACAATACAATAACTGAAATAAAAAATACACTAGAAAGAATCAATAGCAGAATAACTGAGGCAGAAGAACGGATAAGTGACCTGGAAGACAGAATGGTGGAATTCACTGCTGTGGAACAGAATAAAGAAAAAAGAATGAAAAGAAATGAAGACAGCCTAAGAGACCTCTGGGACAACATTAAACACAACAACATTCGCGTTATAGGGGTCCCAGAAGGAGAAGAGAGAGAGAAAGGACCTGAGAAAATATTTGAAGAGATTATAGTCGAAAACTTCCCTAGCATGGGAAAGGAAATAGCCACCCAGGTTCAGGAAGCACAGAGAGCCCCATACAGGATAAACCCAAGGAGAAACATGCCGAAACACATAGTAATCAAATTGGCAAAAATTAAAAACAAAGAAAAATTAATTGAAAGCAGCAAGGGAAGAACAACAAATAACATACAAGGGAACTCCCATAAGGTTAACAGCTGATTTCTCAGCAGAAAGTCTACAGGCCACAAGGGAGTGGCATGACATATTTAAAGTGATGAAAGGGAAGAATCTACAACCAAGATTACTCTACATGGCAAGGATCTCATTCAGCTTCAATGGAGAAATCAAAAGCTTTACAGACAAGCAAAAGCTAAGAGAATTCAGCACCACCAAACAACAAATGCTAAAGGAACTTCTCTAAGTGGGAAACATGAGAAGAAAAGAACCTACAAAAACAAACCCAAAACAATTAAGAAAATGGTCATAGGAACATACGTGTCGATAATTACCTTAAACGTGAATGAGTTAAATGCTCCAACCAAAAGACACAGGCTTGCTGAATGGATACAAAAACAAGACCCATATATATGCTGTCTACAAGAGACCCACTTCAGACCTAGGGACACATACAGACTGAAAGTGAGGGGATGGAAAAAGATATTCCATGCAAATGGAAATCAAAAGAAAGCTGGAGTAGCAATACTCATATCAGACAAAATAGACTTTAAAATAAAGAATGTTACAAGAGACAAGGAAGGACACTACATAATGATCAAGGGATCAATCCAAGAAGAAGATATAACAATTATAAATATATATGCACCCAACATAGGAGCACGTCAATACATAAGGCCACTGCTAACAGCTTTTATAAAAGAGGAAATCGACAGTAACACAGTAATAGTGGGGGACTTTAACACCTCACTTACACCAATCGACAGATCATCCAAAATGAAAATAAATAAGGAAAACAGAAGCTTTAAATGACACAACAGGCCAGATAGATTTAATTGATATTTATAGGACATTCCATCCAAAAACAGCAGATTACACTTTCTTCTCGAGTGCACACGGAACATTCTCCAGGATAGATCACCTCTTGGGTCACAAATCAAGCCTCAGTAAATTTAAGAAAACTGAAATCATATCAAGCATCTTTTCTGACCACAATGCCATGAGATTAGAAATCAGTTACAGGGAAAAAAATGTAAACACAAACATATGGAGGCTAAACAATATGTTACTACATAACCAAGAGATCACTGAAGAAATCAAAGAGGAAATCAAAAGATACTTAGAGACAAATGACAATGAAAACATGACAATCCAAAACCTATGGGATGCAGCAAAAGCAGTTCT